TATATATATCAATAAGTTAGATCAAGCACAAGCAGTTGTAGGCTGCTTCTAGCCTAGATCTTCTAGGCCTACTACTACTGATTCTAGACAGGGAATCTAGATTTAGCTATCACCTGCACTTTTCAAAAGTCAAATAATTGTGTACGGTAAAATAAAAACAAAACTGTGAATTGTTTTGTCAGTCTGTACATCCCAATGGCCATAGCCGCATGTATTCATATTAGTTAATAGTTGAATAATGCGATGCCGAAGCAACACGTTATCACAGTGTGCAGGGGAGAGCGGGGTGCCCGGGTCGCCGACTGGTCGATTCGGAGGTTCAGCTTATGTAGATCTATGCATTTTTATGGAAAGCCCTATTACTAGATCTATTATTAGTGTAGTGAAAACTTCAACCTATACAGCTCAGGTGTCAAAAGATGTTGGAAAATAATAATATGTCCTGAAGTTTCATAATTTACAGAAATACACAGCCAGTAGTTTTTATTTCATTGCATTGTAAAAATTGCCTTGTTTTCAGAAGCAAATTTTAATATTTCCAGTTCTACTGAATCGAATTTTACGCGAATACAACCATTTTGATGATCTTTCTTTACCGTTCAAAAAGATGTAGGCCTGTCGGATATGGCAGAGCAATTAACACAGAGTTGTTTAGACCCATCAAAACACGGGGCTTCGTGGCGGATCACAAAAGTCTACAATGCGTATTGAGGCCGATTCGCCCTGCCACGTGCACGTTCACTAAACTGCCTACTAGATCTACTACCAAAGATTCTCTACACGATCTTTGCTACTACTACTACAACAACTACTACCACTACTACTACTACATACTACTACTATTACTACTACGAGACAATACGAGAGAGTGCCACTCAGGCAAAGACAGTGTAACTTTGACTCAGCCACGTTGAGTACACACTTTTTATACACCAAATTTGACCCGGAAGTTCATTCGCGGGATTTGACCTTTTCACTTGACCAAAGTGTGCTAAAATGGAAGCCTAGCTTTTGCCCCTCCATGAAGGAAAAATCAGGCCCTCATTCAAACCATTGGGATTGAGCAAAATTTTGCGTATTGTACTTTGTTCTTACATACAATTTTCATTATGATTAAGTTTATAAGTTGTACACAGAGACAAAACTGTACTAAATGAGAAACGGGCACCATTATGAAAGTGGAACGAACTCAGTTGCGTGAAAAAGGTAGCATATATGTGACCTAAATAATGTTCCAGGGAGGGGGAAACCTTATTTAGGCTACAGGTGGCCTAAATAATGTCAGGTGGGGGGTTGACCTTATTTAGGCCATATGTGGCCTAAATAAGCACTCCCAAAAAAGTATTAGTCAGGTTTTTACGGTGCTCACAACTGCATAAGGTTATATGAGCACCAAGGGGTGGATGTCAACAGAGAATTCCAAACGGAGAATCAGGCTTTCTCTGCTCACCTCTCTAGCCTCAACAGCACAAAGTCTGCTTCGACTATCAAGGTATCTAGGAAATAGCAGTTAACAATAGAGTGACAAACATACAAAAGAAGTAGAGGAGAAATGACGATAGCAATGATGAGGAAAGAAAAAGTAGCAATTCCCTCTATGTTGTTTCGGCCCAGCATGAGCATGACATTGATAAATCAGCCCATTTACAATTCTACTGTGCATAAGAACATGTTAATATCCCCCCTTTGGGAATTGCTTAATGACACTTCAGTCAGTGGCATCGCCCGGGGGGGGG